AACAATTTTTTTAAAGAACTTTTGCGTTTGAATTTTTTATTTCAGTTCAACAGATTTTGAGATTTAAAGAATTCAAAATAAAATATAAGTGAAACTTTTTTAGTTTGTTTTTACTTGTCCTTATTCATTTTTGATCAATCATATACAAATTAATAATCTTTGAATCAGATGAGTAATCAGGACGGCTTATAAACACTTATTATCTAGTTATATTTACATTACACTCATTGATAGTAACGATATGAATAAGAGTGATAAGACAGAACGTCTTATCGGTGATGAATGAAATTATACGAATTTAGATTTGAGGCCAAAAAAATTGAATTTGTGGGTGAGTGTGGTATCAGGACAGGTGCCACAGTGTAATCATTCGCTGCAACTAAAAATATTTATTATTCCTGTAACGTGATAAGGTATTATAGGAAATAATATGGAATATTAAATTCATTGTTTTACAAAAATCATTTACATAAGCGTTAAATGTATTAAACTATCCTTTGCCTGAGTTGTGAAATGTGAATAAAATTTGTACTTGTCCACTGTCCAGTCTTCTGAATAATTCGACATTGTCGATGTTTCAGCAGTGTTCCCATTTTTTTGTTTTAAATTTTAAAATATTACAACGTCCCTCAGTTAGTGAATATCTTGTATTATTATCTTATAATCCGTGATAATATTTTGATTAAATTGATGAAGTGATAAGTGATTAGATTACTTCAAAATTCTAATTTGAAAAAGCCTAACTAGAGCTATAGAAAATTGTAGCAATTATAACGTAAGTACGTACCTATATCTATACATAGTATACATTGATGGTTTAAAGTTCGAATAATGTTCGATACATCATACATAGGTACACTAATTTATTCTTTGTTATCTATGGATATACAATACAAACATATTTTTCATTTAAAACTGAGAGTAGGTAGGTACATAATATTATACACTAAACGAAAAATARTTACACAGTAGTCAATATGCTTGTACATTTTATTATCATAAAATATAAATACAATTTTAAAGTGATATATAGTTAGACAATTAAAGGTCTATTCACAACAAAATAATAAAATAATTTATTTTCAGACACCCATCAGGTTAGACCAAGCAGTTAGGCTAAATACGCCAATACCTATGAGTTTAGTATAAATAATTAGTTTTTAGTAAAGTAAGCACTAGTTGTAAACATTTTTTACTTCTACTACTATTACTACTTATAAATTTAAACTTTACTAGCTAAATATAAAAATATAAAATAAAAGTATTAAAAATGTTCATACAATCATACCCACTTAAGTAATTTCAGGTAATACGTTTAAATCCTGGTTATATTTGTAGTAAAATGTAGATGATATTAGAATACCCAGAATTTGAATATACTTAATACATAATACTATTTGGAATASGATATACCTATCAAAATAATATATTTTTATAGATGGTGTCCAAGGCATCTTGGATAYCTGTGTTTGATAATATTGTATTATATTATCACTTGGATAGTTGGATGTAAGGTTATGTTATTTTTCAATGTACAATACACACTTATACTTGTTTCACTGGTTTTTTTATTCTATAGCTGTATTCACTTGTAGATAAACAGAAACAGGGGTGGACTGGTGACAGATCGGCTCAGGGAGATGTGAAAATCTAAAGGCCTATGTATTTTTAATACATATACTTGCAATAACATCTATTCTGGTTTGTGAAGCAACCTTGGTTTTGTAAATAAAAAAAAGTGATGACGAATATTTAACTATTATCTCAACATTTGAAGTATTATTGACAAACAATAGAAAGCAAGGGAGAATTTGTGATCCAAGACTCTTCAAAAGTTTACCAATCCTATAAAAATGATTTCATTATAGTCAGGGTTGGGCAAGATACTCAAAAATGAGTATTGAGACACTAGATACAAGATACTTTGCTTTGGAGTATCGCGATACAAGATACTTGGCTATAATTTATAGTAGCATCAGAGTATATAATATATACCCGCCTAGGCTCTAGACACTAGACAGTATGTAACAAAAAAAAACCCTGACAAATAAACACAAMATTTAATACCAGATATTAGTTAAACATATGAAAACAAATATAAAAATTATATGGATAAGCAAAATACTTGTGTCAGGAAATTCCCAAAAATTTTACATATGTATTTTGGAAAAAAGGGATCAGGTACGTTTACAATTAATTTACCCCAAACAAAACGGATATTTCGAAAGATTTAAAAAAATAAACTACTTGATTTAAAATATTTAAATAAACATTTTCATCATCAAAATTTGTCTAATAATTATATTTACAAATTAGCTATTTTGAATTTATCGAAAAAAAAGATATTATACGGCTTAAATGTTTTCATTTTGAAATATCTGAATTAAAAATAAAAAAAAACAAATTGCACTCTGTATTTGTTATGCAATCGTCTATAAATTAAATAATATATGAAAATTAAATATTGATATAAAAAAGTTATTTCATTTGTTAGGTATCTATTTCTGTTCACCTTGTACCTTATATAAATTGGTAATAAGAAAAAATCGGATTAGTTTATACCTTTGACATTGACATATAGTCAAAAAATATTTTTCAATTTATTTTCAATTTCCTATTTAACTAACTAAATAGRTAATTGTAATATTAATGGGGAACTTTGCTTCATACATCCTAATATTTTTTGAAAATGTACTTCATTTAAAAGCTATCCACACTTATTTGCGTATATGCCTCTGACTCTTTATTCCTAAATTCCCAATCGATGAACAGATTCTACTTTTAATGATCTTTTAACTTACTTACTGAAAATTTTCTTTGTTTTCTAGTAATTATTTTTTGATTTTCGTGGGCATATAGGTACTATCGTGATCATGTTTTGAAAATTGTTTGAGATTATCACTAAAGCATGATAAATGAATTAAATAAATGTCTGTCACTATTGTCTGTACGTAGTAGTTATTAAACGTATATTTAATATTTATATGTTACGGACAAAGTAAGAAATCCGTGCATTGTGCACAATATGCCCAAATATTTTGGGCWATGTAAGAATCATCATTTTAATACTCAAATTGTTCAGACATTGACCGCGTATTGTTCTAGACTGCCCGGACAGAATGTACCCTTATCTAATAGCATTTATACGTAACAATATCACTACAAAACTATACTTAGATATKTCATTCGTACGCGACAAAGTGACAGTTGCCGATAAAACTAACCAATCCGTAATTTTAAAGATAAATTGATCACATAGTATTTTACACGAAAATTATGGCTATCTAGATAATATTTCAAAAATTCCTATTTGATATTTTTTCATRATAATTATCACGACGGCGACGTCACGTAGTCTGTTATTAGTTTATTGGTTAAGAGGAGGGTGTCAATACACCATCATATCCGGCATCCGCATATGTTGTCTCCGTCTTACAAGTGCGTAACATACCAAATTTAGTCTCAGCAGATCACGTTTAGCTCCGTTAGTTTAAAAATTAAAGTGAATTTTACCTCTTTTAAATKTAAAGGTGTTATCTGCGTTCATATTTATTTATTTTTTGTACCTCTACTTTAAAATCAGAGGAAGACTTTTAAATAGCTCTATAGCTCTAGGCTGTGGAGATGTCATCAAAAACATAAACGAGAAAGACGAAAAAAGTGATGCAAGTGATTAAGTCTGTGAAAAACATTTTTTTTAAGTACTCTATAAGATATTTTATTTAAATTTAATATACATATTTAATCTTCAGTGTCCAAATCTAATTCGACACTGTATACAATGTCCGGGTAATGTTAACTTATTACAAATTTGCCCTTGAAAATCGGGCATTGTGACTTCCTACTTTGCCCGTAACATATATAATGTAACAACATTTTTATAGTACTTTATRATACATCTTAGGTCTTCCTGAGTACCAAGGTTTTGAACAGGCCTATGAGTATAATACCTATTCACCCGTCCAAGGAGATAATATATCTCCGTAACTCCCCTAGCCAGTGCGCCTCTGACCAGAAACTATCATTCTATAATGGAGCGTTGTTTCTTATTATGTAACTTTGCAAATGACACCTTTTATCCGCAGGCTACATAGTCAGATTCTCCACACACAATTTAATATGTGTTCAATATTTGAATAAAAGTTGTATTTTATATAGGTACAATTTTTCATGCATGAAGAATAGCTATAGACAAAGTGACATGATTTGTCAATAAATTTGTGCTTTTTTTAGGTGACATATTTATTTTATTCCATTTTTTAGAATTTAAAGAATAGGTTTTTATTTCACCTCTAAAACAAGACTGCCACAACTCAAAATTCATTAATTTTCGAATGCAAGAATGCCACATTCAATATATTTTTTTATTAAGTCATTAAAAATATGTATTAGTAATCAATGTTGAATCACCCATTCAATTTTTAGATATTTTTTTAATGTAATAGTCATATTTAATTTATATATGACTGTGGATATGTTTCCTATGTAATTTACTAAATTACAGTTACTGGAGTCAAATTTCAAGATTACTGTATTTCGATGTGTGGCACTCTTGCCAAAAAATGATATATACGTTGAATGGAAAAACAACAATATTTAGCGTTGCGAATATTGTGGCGGTTTTGCATTTCATAATTTGTGATATTGCAATCATAACATGAAAAACATCAATTTTGTATTTTAAAAAGCCATAATCTAACTATTTAAATTTAAGAAAGAGTATTTCACAACATTCAATTGAGTCATAATTTACGTAAAATATGTTTATAAGTGTTTACATTTTTAGTTTTAAATGCATATTATTATGTAAAGAACTCATAAAMATATCTTATAGTTTTAAATTTCAAATTGCTTTTTCTCAAAACTATAAATTTTGAGTTGTGATAGACTTGTTCTATAGRTGGAGTACTGGTACTTATAAGTTTATAATATATACCTACCTAACCTAAATATTTTGAAATRAGAGACTAAATTGTTATTTAATTTTATTTGTTGTTTAGGTTATGCACCGTTTTCTCCATTTTTGACAACGATATCAAAACAACGTGGTTATTCTGCATTTATAGTTGGTTTAATATTCATGCTACAACCAATTCCTGGAATGTTGATAAGACCAATTGTTGGTGCCGTTACAGATAAATACAAATGTCGTCGGTCGGTGTTTATTGCGAGTTCGATAATCACATTTGTATTGGTATGTTTACTATCAATAATTCCTGGTACGACATCAAAAGAAGAAATGAACGATTTAGATGTGATAAAGTCGCCACTGTTTTGGATGTTCTTTACTACAATTGCCTTAATCAATACTGATGGAACGGTGAAAAGTGTWTTAGAGGAYACGATTTGTATGGATTTATTAGGTAAAAATAAATAGGTACTGTGCTTTTATAAATTTATTGATGTGATAAWASGTGAAWAAATTAMTTTTGAGAAGTGACAGCTATAAGGAACCATATATTTATTTTTATGRTGGTCCGATCGGAATTACTACTATACACAATACACACTTAATTTTAATATTCTGAAAAACTAAAATTGTTGTACAGGTATGCATTATCTATTGGCTATTATTAAATAGTAGTAGAATAAAACATTTTCTTTCATTTTAATGGAAATATCAAATAAATGCTAGCTTACAAACTATCTTGATAAAATTTAAGTCATATTATGTATGATGATTTACAAAAATTTGGAAAAAAATTACTTATACCTAATTACTTCCCTAATAGGAACTATAAGTAAATAAATATAAATCATAAAAAAATGTACACTTAATAATTAGTATAGTTTCTTATTTTTTCAATTCAAACTAAACTACCTACATACATTGTGTAGTTCTACAGTTATAACTTGTAACCTAAACACTTGCTAGAGTTTACGTTTTTGAAAATATTTTCTTTTTACTTAATCTTATACAAAATATAATACCCCTAATATAAGTATAGAAAACAATAATTGAGTTACTACAAAATGTGCAAGACATATCAAA